AATCCCCTTACAAATATTTAGGCTAGGGAAGTCAAGGAATATAGACTATCCAATTGAGTTATAGTCCACAGTTTTATGTCAAAGGAATAAGAAGAATACAAAGAAGGTGTGATCATGCATATAGTGGGTAAAAGCACTTGTCTATATTGAGTCTATAATGATGACATTTTTAGTTGAGTATTAATTTCTGCCATTATGCTTGTCAATGATTTGCGTGATCAACTCTATTTATATGAAAAGCGCTAAAAGTATTGTTTTCCAAGTAGATGCTATTATGTGTGCTGAATTGTAAATTTCTAATTTTAATTGTCTCACATAGGTTAAAGTATTAATATTAACTACTACTTGCATTTAAACTAATTGATATGCATTAGTATGGGCTAGTCAAACTTTGATTATTGAGTAGTTGTACTCACCCTGTTATCTTCAATATTACTGAGAATAGCTCAAGAAGTGTGGACAGAGGAAAACACCTTGAGGCTTAGGATCATAATCCATTTGTAATAGGCCTCCTTATTTTGGGTAACTTATGTGTATGACAATTTCGATTGCCATCTAGGATTTTCCTTTTTGTTATTTACTTGCATTAAGTGAAATGTAAATTGTAATGGTATTTTAGGCCTTAGGGAGAGAATTAATTATCATGTGTTATGATGATAGGGCTAAAATACTAATACAAGTGAGGGTAGAGAATATTATGTGATGATTTGGGAAATCTTGATGAAAATTTAGTAAACTCCCCCTTCTTATGTTTTTGAGTTTAAAGGAATGAGTAATGGAAATTTGATTTGAAAATATTTCTTATATTATGGTGCATTGCATGAGTTAGTTTTGATTATCTGTATGTGACCATATTGTTGTTGGTGGCATATGGTCCTTGGTATTTGGTTTGAACACTTAAGAATATGAAATTTGTCATAATAGCATAATTTTTGAAAAGGGTATCCAATTCTTGTTTTAAAAAAGAAATTGAGTCTAAGACTGACGCCATGAGTTAGAGTTCGAAAAGAATTTTTTGTAGACTCTTAGTTCGTGTCAATCGGAAGTCAAACGGAGTTTTAGGGCGCGTTTGAAGTTGGCCTTAAAGCTATCAAATTAACAGTAGAAATTTACTGTCAAAATTCGTGCAATTGTGTCGCGGTACATGGTGTCCGATCTGCGGTGTGCATCACAGAGGTGAACACGAGCCATGGCGCACGCTTTAAATTTTTTTCAGAATTTTCTTGTTTTAAATTCTTACGCTAATGCACTTAGTTATGCAATGAGTTCGCGCATTTGTGAACTTTGATTTGTCTCATTACTAGACTTGAAATGATTTTAGTTTTATAAATTTGGGGTCTCTATTTTGTTAACCAATGAGAATTCTATATTTGATTATTACTATTGTCTTATTTTTCTAATTATTTGGGATTTAGATTTAATTATGAGATTAGAAAGAGGAGGATATTACATGGTTGAATCTATCATCTTTTTTAATTTTCAAAATATATGCCATGTGGTTGTCAACGCAATGGATAATAGTCAAACTAATAGTCAAGGTTTGAATCTATTCACTAAAGGCCAAATTTCACCCAAAAACAAAAAACAAAAACTTGAGCATATAGGGCTCACTTAGGTGGAAACTTTGAAGGAAAAATTCTGTTTTTTCTTTTTTTTTTTTTTAGAGCTAAGGACGCCTGGAGATTGATAATAGCATTGAAGGATCCTATAGTTATGAAATCTCACTACACACCTATAGGACTTATATTTGATTGCAAAAAAACCATGTTCCCTCCCCCTCCCCCTACCCACCATCCCCCAAAAAAAATATTTTGCTTCTTCCTCATCACCATTTTGACTGTGTGTTTGTTAAAACATGCATGGGTGCTAGTTAATTTAACATGGGTGCTTATTAAAAATGGATTATCCCTTATTGGTATAACATCTACACTTGTCCATTTTTTAACTAGACTTATCCTACTTAAACTTGTTAAACACCATAGGTGCCTTTTAATTTAACTTGGTATTTTTTGTGAAAAATGAATGATTGTTGGTTGGTACAACATCTACACTTGTCCATTGGCCCTATCACCCTTTAAACTTGTTAAAACACACATGGGTATTTATTAATTCAACTTGGTTGCTTGTAAAATATGAATGACCATTTGTTGGTATAGCAAAACTTATATACTTAGCTTTATATATTTAACATGCTCTTATACAATCAAATCACAATATGTAGATTTTAATATGTTGGTAATATTATAACAATAATTTGTTATAGAATAAATAATATAACATTTCAAGTTTTTATGCTTTGAGTTAATTACATTAATAATATTTTAAGAGAGTTTGAGGGTATTTAAGTATAGTGAAAAATAATTTATAATCAATGAGGGCCTGGAAGAAGATAAGAAATGAACTTCCTTTGTAATTAAAAATTTTTTAAAGAGCAAATGATAATATTTGTTAGTAATTCTTTTTTCATTAGAAAATAGACATCTTAAGCTTTAATATAGAGTTATAATTCATAATTTTTGGAAATGTGTAGAATTAATCATAAATTTTTGAAGTTAGGCTAGTGAAAATGTACCATTAGCCAAAATAGATGGCACTTTTGGTTGCAATAGACAACACATTTTCTGTCTATTAATTTCTGTTTGAAGCAAAATGCATATGAGGGGCAAAACTGAAGGTTTGGTTCTGAAAATATGGGGCTCTGCTTGGTTTTATTTTTTTGTTTCCCTTTATTAGGGCACGATTTTGGCCTCCTCATCACTCAAGATAAGTTTTTTAATCTCATTTCTACCTTCTAACCTCTCTTTAAGCTAGTTTATGCTCGGACTAAGTTTGAGTTTTTGTGTTTGTGGGTACCCAATCATTGGGTCCAAATTCTAAAGTGATTTTAAAGTTAAATAAGTGTAGTTTAAATAGTTTTGATGATAATTATGGTAATAGGATGCTAAAATCCAAAAACCCTTGACTTGAGGGGAGATTTTATGACGATTTGATAAGGTAGAGACTAGATAAATGATATATAATTGGAATGATGATTATGGTGATTAAGTTTAAGCTAATGAAAGTTAAAAATGAGATTATTTTTTGTTAATATCACTGATTAGGGTCATAGGCCTTAATCACGATTAAAAGCTAATTAATAATAATTAGTCATTAATGATGTTTAATGATGGTAAATTATAGATTGACTACCTTTGAAAGTAATTATCATAATTAGTCATTAACAAATTATCCTTATCAAAATAAAAGGGATAAAACAAATGATCATATCTTGCTCTAAAATACCCTTGCTCTTACTCTTTGGTGTGGGATTTAAGCTAACATAAAAATAGAGAACTAATAGAAAATGAAAAATTGTATTGACATTGAAAAGTTAAGGAACTAAATCATGAGTTAGTCAAAAGTTAAGAGACTAAAAGATTAATTGAGGAATTGCGTTATAAATGAGTTAAAAGTTAAAGGATTAATAGATTAATTTTTTTAAAGATAAAACTACCTATCAATTTTTTTTTAAAATTCTCCCACCATCATTAGTCACTAGAGCTCTAGCACCAACTGGTGGACTGCCACCACTGGACCTATCATCGCAGCACTAATGCTAGCCATCAGACCAATATTTGCTAAAATAAGTTAACAAGTAAATTTTAATAAAATAATAATTTCACATAAACTTTTAACAAATAAACTTTTGATAATAAAAATAAGTAAATATTTATAAAAATCAGTGCATATTAATTTTTTTAACAAGTTTTCATTAGTAATTTAATAAGTGATTATTTGTAAAATGACAAATACCATTATTAACTTTGAAATAACAGATTCACATAAACTTTTGACAAGTAAACTTTTGATAATAAAAACAAGTAAACATTTATAAAAATCAATGCATATTAAATTTTTTATCAAGTTCTCATTAGTAATTCAATAAGTGATCATTTGTGAAATGACAAGTCCTGTAACATACTTTAAAAATTTTTCTTAATAATTTGACAAGTAAATTTTAGTAAAATAACATGTTCACATAAGCTTGTGACATATAAACTTTTGATAATAAAAACAAGTGACATTTATAAAAATTAGTAGATATTAAATTTTTCACAAGTTCTATTAATAATTTAACAAATAGTCATTTATGAAGTGACAAGTAACCATTAAACTTTGACAAAAATTTGGCTTGAAATGTGAAAATAAAGTTTACGGTATGTATGAATAAGAAATATTACTAGCTTAGTGGCTAACAATTCTTTTTGTTGATCAAGGGGTTGTGGGTTTAAATCCCTTGACTACCTTCAAAAATAATTAATTTGGCACCTTCATTGGATCGATGGCTAGCATCGGAGCCCTAACGACTAGTTCGGCATGAGGTGGTCTGGCGGCCAGTGATAGTGAAAGAATTTAAAAAAATAAAATAAATGAAGGATAGTTTTACGTCCTCACACTAAATTCTAATTATATTTTAGTCTATTGATTTTGGCATTTTGCAGAGTTATTTTAGAATCTTTTAGTCTTTTTTTTTTTAAATAAAGTGCTCCAGCGGTCCCGGATTGTGATTTTCCCAAACTTACATGCTATCAAAAGCCCATGAATTTCAGAGTTATTTTTGCACTTCCTGAGATTTTATAGTAATTACAATTTTTTCTGGGACATGTAGATGATCGTCCCTATAAAAAAGTAATAATGACGTCAAATGTCAACATATTTGTCATTACGATGAAGCAAAATTCAAAATTGAAAAGTGGGAAAATCTCGTCCTTGTGTCTTGTTTGGTTTTCAAACGGTTAAACTGCGCGTTTTAGGTTGCGAACTGCATTTGGAGCGTTCATAAGTCCATAACGCAGACACTAATAACGACAGTACAATGAATAGTCGTACGTCAAAATTGATAACTGGAAAATGACAAATAATTAAATGAAACCGTATTTTCTAACCCCCAAAAAAAAAAACTTATTTGCAAGACAAGACAAGTAGCAGTGGGTGGGGCCCCTGATGTGTGCGTGTGTGTATTAGTATAAACAGCTTCTCCTTCGTTCAATCTTCAGCTTCAAGATTAATTTCAGAATTCCAAGAGAATGGCAAGCAACGTGGAAGCAGGAAAAGGGAAGGTGGTGTGCGTGACAGGTGCGTCTGGGTTCATTGCTTCATGGCTCGTCAAGCTTCTTCTTCTTCGTGGCTATTCTGTCATAGGCACAGTTCGTGACCCAAGTGAGTTTAATTTCTGGAGATTCTTTTGTTGATCATATACTGTTTGATTAAGTGTCTATGTAATATTATTTGCGACTGAATCGATGCAGATGATTCAAGAAAGACAGAGCACTTGATGAGACTGGAAGGAGCAAAGGAGAGACTGAAAGTGACAAAAGCAAATTTGTTGGAAGAAGGTTCCTTTGATTCTGCTGTTGAAGGCTGTGATGGCGTCTTTCACACTGCTTCCCTTGTCGCCCTTGGTGTCAGAGACCCTCAGGTTCATATATATATCAACCAGTGTTTTTAGGACCAGGAACAGGCCTGTCTTGTTCAATCATTCGATCCGTTCTAGCAATTGATTTAAGTTGACCGGCTTTAACCTAAACTGGATTTTAAAAACCCCGTGACTCAAATAGCTGGGTCTTTTTGATTTATTTTTCATTTAAATATTATTTTTCATTTAATTATTATACCAACAGTTTAATTATTGATATAACCAATTAAATCATGTGAACTATGAACAATTAATTTTCTCAATTCATCATCCTATTTAATTTTTAAAACATTGATATCAACTTAAATCATCATTAATAAAATCTTTCACCAACCACATTATATTTGATATTTTCTATGAACCCTGATTCGGTCAAACTATATATAGGAGTATTGAAATTTCAATTATTATTATTTAATGAAAATATAATTAGAAAGATCTACAATATTTTAAAAGACTAAGATTTCAATTTTTTTTTAAACCTTGAAATAATTTCCAATACTATGTTGTAGACCAAAAAGGGGTATGTACTTGGTTCTCCCTTTGCTTCTATTTAGAACTTACCTTTAGCTAATTCACACAAATAATGAATGATAGTTAAAATTACATTATTAGCAAACGCATGTACTCTTTTGAACTTAATTTATAGGGTAGAGAGAGGGAGGGAAGGGGGAGCACTTATTTTCACTCTATTTTGTTTTTATTAAATGTTAAGAAGATTATTGTTGGGGTATTTTATTTTTAAAATATGTATATTTAATAGGGATAAAATTAAAAAATTATTAAATTTTTAGACAGAGTTAATAAAGTTTAAAAATTTTATTAGTTCTAATAAAATATAATAAAAATAACTTATAAATAAAACTAAAGTGAGCATACTAGCATTGATCATATAGGAACATTAATTTTTGAGAGTTTATTTGCATGAATAAGAGATGTGACAATTAATAATCATAATTAAGCTTCTAATTAGACTTCTACTTTTTGAATTATTTCAGACTGAAATTATTGACCCAGCAATTAAGGGAACCCTCAAAGTTCTTGAATCATGCAAAAAATCGCCAACGGTGAAACGAGTCATTTTAACCTCTTCCATGGCTGCAGTTTTATGTAACGGAAGGCCTTTAAATCCTGACGTTATAGTTGATGAGACGTGGTTTTCAGATCCAGATATTTGTAAAGAATATGGGGTATGTATTACTATTATTTATTTCATTAAATCAAAATTTACATGAATTTAGTAGTTATTTTGTATTCCCTTATTTCATATTATAGGGTATTTTTTTTTAAAAAAAATTGTGCTTTGATGCCCAAGTCATTTTACCAAGGGGCAAACTAAAACTAGTCAAAATTAAATTATGATTTGTTCAAACTAGTCAAAAATTAGAAAATTTGGCCAATTTTTTAAATTTTATTTTTTTAATCTTTTTTTTTTTTCAATTTATACAAGATTGCATCTAATAAATCTTAGAAAATAAGACTGATAAGCTAATGAGCACTATATGCCGGTAAAAATGGACAATATATATTATAAAATTGTAATATAAGTTATATAGTGTAGATATTTTAGATAAATATAGTGTTTATTTTTTCAATCTACATAGTATATATATGACTTTTTTACATTACATTGGATTAATAAGCAAAAATGTTCTGAAATTTTTTCTCCAGGGGTACCTGGCATTCTAAACTATTTTTTAGAACTTTTTTTTCTTAAACTTTTTAAAAAGAGAGTATTTTTACCTCACCATTAAATATAAAAAATGTTGACCATTAAAGTGCAGTTTAACTAAAGGTTAAATGGCATTTTTGCTCTGAAATTTTTTCTCCAGGGACACTGGATATCCTAAATGTTTGCTTGGAGTTTATTCGTTTGGGAAGTTTTAAAAAATGGAGCTATTTTGCCCTCCCTTCTTCCTCTTTCTCCTCCTCATCTTCCATCAACAAGCTCATGCATTACCATGGATTGGAGTCCAAATGCAAAGTTGGGAAAAATGGATGTTTGAGATTTGCGAGTCTCGTGAGAAGTCTTGCATCTGGCTTAGCACTTTCGCCGCCCAAAAATAGTTGCTCAAGCCCATGATGTCGCTACTCTGTCCATAAAAAGCAAATCTGTCATTCTTAACTTCCCTTAGATGCCGTTGTCCTCCCCTGACTTGCCACATAGTTCCAACATAACATCCAAGCCGCTACTTTCCCTACTGCCGTCATGGTCAAGTTTGATGCTATGAAGCCCTTAAAAGCATATGAGTCAAGGTTGAAGTTCATGAAGTCGTCACAGTTGAGTGAGATAGTAAAATTGCCAAATATAAAAGAATAGAACTTCCACATGGCTGGGTTCATATGGATTGATTCAATAAATAGTTAATTGTTTTCGAGTATAGGTATGAATGATTTGAAACTGTAGGGCAAAATTGCTCTCTTTTTAAAACTTTTAGAACAAATAAGCTCCAAACAAAAATTCAAGATATCTAATGCCTTTAGAGAAAAAGTTTTAGAGCAATTATGCTATTTAACTCTTAATCAAACTGAACTTTAATAGTTAACATTTTTTATATTTAATGGTAAGGCAAAAATGCTCTCTTTTTGAAAAGTTCAGGACCAAAAAATGTTTAAGGTGCCAAGTATCTTGAAAAAAGTTTTAGGTCATTTTTGCCTATTAATCCTATTATATTTCACATCTTATTTTTACTCATTTTTTTAAATTTTTTGTATATTATTATTAGCTTCACTCTTTCTCATTTAAAAATAATTATTTATAATAAAAATATATGTTGATTAAATTATACTCCCGTTTCAAAATATTTGTCTTTTTAAGAAAAAAAGTGTCATATGATTTGTAATTTTTTCACTTTCAAAGCATTATTCAATGAATACTTTTTTTCTTCTTCTTAAAGACATTAAAGCATTTTTAACACATGGATGAGATATACTCCATATAAATAAGAGGCAAATTTAATAACACATATAATATGTTTAAATATTAATAATTACATTTTTATTTAATACTACCTATGTCTCAAATTATATGATATTTTTAAAGTAGTTTCTCTGTTCTAAAATATAAAACACTTTGAGTAGATTAAGGTTTCATTAAATGCGTCAATTTTAATATTATCATTTCTCTCTCTATAATTAATTTTGGTCTCTTCTCTTTTCAATATATTAAATGATGAGTATTTTTGAAAGTTTATATTTTTATTTTAAAAAGATAAAGTTGTTAAGTATATTTAATGAGGTTTATTAATATGTGAGATTTTATCTAAAAATATCTTATAATTTAAGATGGAAGGAGTATATAACAATCTTAAATGACAAATACTCCTCCGGTCCTATATATTAGTCACTTTTTAAAAATATAATTTGGTCCACTTTATAAATTACTAGTTGATAGAATTGTTTTGTTTTAAATTAAAATTATTAAATTATTCTTAAAAAGTAAGAAAAAGAAAAATAAAAAATAAAAAATAAAATAGTATTATTTATTTATTTTTTATTTGAGAGTTATATTTAAAATTTTATTTATTTTTATTTTTTATATTTTGTTATATTGATATTAATAAAAATAATTTATAGATATGATTGAAGGAGTATTTTATGAGGGAGAGAGCAATTGACATGATGTTTTAAATGTGTGTCTCTAGGAATGGACGGGCTACGTACTTTCGAAGACTTTAGCAGAAGAAGCTGCTTGGAAATTTGCAAAAGAAAACAACATCGATTTGGTTACTATCAATCCATCAAATGTTATTGGACCTCTTTTGCAACCAACGCTGAATGGTTCTTCTGCTGCTATTTCAGTCTTATTCAATGGTAATTCTAGGTTTTTTTGGTAGTGTTTTTATTTGTTTATTTATTTATTTTGGTTTTGATGACACAGACAGCATTAGATAAACTGCTCGACAGCACCCCAGGATCCTTGGCCACAAAACTCGAAGCAAAAGGAGGAATGTGGGGGAAAAAAGAAAAACACTATAACGAGTAAGAATATTTAAAGCCTCACGAGCCAAAGCATCTGCCGCCTCATTCATGGCCCTAGTACACCGAGGGCTGATCTTCGATTCTCGGCACATGTGCTCGTTGCAGTAATGAAATCTGAAGCATTTAAATTTTTAATTTAAATAATTTAAATTTAAAATATTATTATATATTTTTATTAAAATAAAAATTATAAAAAAATGTTAATAATTTTTTATTTTTAATATGATCTAGATTTAATTTAGAGGATCTAATTTAATATTAAAATTTTTATAATTGTGACTATCCAAATGTATTATACATAGTTCAAATTTAATTTGGACCATACAAAGTCATCTGGATAGTCAATATATAGCAATTATAAAAATTTTAATATTAAATTGGACCCTCCAAATTAAATCTAGATGAAATTAAAAATAAAAAATTTATTAAAATTATTTATATAATTTTTATTTTAATAAATATAAAATAAAATAATACTTTAAATATGGACCATCAAAATCAAAATGTGTAAATCTCATCACATTGATAAGCACAATGAACACTGAAGTTCAATCCACTACACCACTGCACATCCACATTCCACTCACATGCTAACAACTTGTTCACCTCTTTAAGGAGCTATCTATCGAGGTGGTCGTTCGTGAAAACATCGTGCACTGTCTCCACCACCTGAAGGGAACCTAATTCCACCACTACTGACTTGAAGTTTAGGTCCCAAGCCAGCTTCAACCCCTATAATAGTCCCCAGATCTCAGCTTAAGTGCTGTTACCTCTCTCAATATTGAATATAAAACCTCCTAACATACTTCTTGAACTTCCTTGAGCCATACCTTGACATGCGGCGATGCTGTTACCCGTGCTCCAAGCACCCTCCACATTCATCTTCACAACACCATCAAGTGGAGCTCGCCACCCTGCTTTTATTGGAGGGTTCGAGCATATTTCATTTGAGCTTGTACATGACCACTTAGCACATGCTTGTGTCTGAGCAATCATCCCTTTAACATCTATCATACAACCATGAAAAATGAGATCATTCCTAGGAATCCATAGCTGTCGACATAACTGGCCAAACCATATCCTCGGTAACAACAACCCCTAACACTCCATAGCTACCTTACAATCTTGTAACACATGTAACAAGACTTCTAGAACCCCAGCGCACACTATACATATAGCATTTGAACTCAAACCCCTTTTCTAACAAACCATGTTCATGAGCAAGTAATCTTTCATGCACAGCCAAAGAAAGTTCTTGCACCATTAAGGAATATTCATTTTCCAAATGTGATGCCATTGTCCTCTATTTGCAATCCCTTTAGAATTTTCCACCTACCAATATGCAAATTTAATGGTGAACTCACCATTAGTTGACTAACACTACCTATGAATGTCACTGTGACCAGCATGCTAGATACCCATGTAAAGTCCCTTGAAACACCACGAACTTTACTAATACACACCATCATCCAAACACAAGCATCAGCAAGAGAGGAGTGATATACTCTGCTTCCTGCCTCATTATCATGTGCTAGCACAAAAATTAAGATATAAGCTCTTAATTTATTTTGAAAATGTGGGATCTTGACTTTGAGTTAAAAATGCGTAAACATATATTTTATGCTTAGTGAAAACACTTAAGGAAGCATAAATACGACACCTTTGAAAATGGGGCTTAAAACAATTATTCTTCCCAAAACAGGCCATACGCCACGACATATATCACATGTGCTGTATCATGTGGTGCATAGCCACAAAGTCTCACTGTGTCATGAACTACAGCATGTCACTATACACCATAGCACACGTATTAGATTTTTCTATCACATAGCACTACTGATATGAGCTTTCAACATGTGCTATTTCCACATATGATATTCTATTGGAGTGATTCAAGCTCTCCAATGAAGCTCATAAGACAAAATAACTAATGAGACAAGTCTGAACATGATCTAATAGTGCCATCTCAATTTGGGCGCTCAAGTGCAAAAATTTACTTCTTTTAAAACAAGCACCATACATGTTCAAATTCAACCTCTTGCCTTATTATATCACTCTTGCCCTGAACCAAGTCTAAAAGGATTAAATACACCTGATTGACACATAACATCACATATAATGCATCATACACTCAATTTGGTCACTCAATGCTACTTTTCACTTAAGTAGACTTGCAAAAGACTTTTACAACGTTGAGTTTGAACAATGGCACTACTACATATACACAATCATACTTGTTCTACTCACATATATTTGACTTGCATAAATAGGGTCAAGCCTTACCATATAGTCAAGATTCATAATTAATGCCTAATTTACACACACGCACACACATACATACATAATCACATTATCACATAAACTTGTATAACACACTAGTGGAATAAGTTATAATCTTTAAAATTCCCAAATCTTGCTTATTAAACAAATATCTCTAGCTTTGCACAAGTACCTACAACTTATGCACCACAAGCTAAGAGGATACCATTCATCACATGTCATAAGGCAAGATTTCACATAGCACACGTACACACACACACACACACACACACACACACACACACACACATGCTTGTAATAGCATCTAAGCCCATCCACCATATTAACACATAATTACACAATTGGTGAAGATGCAACAAAAATAATACAAGCAAGTAACCAAAATGATATATGTACATGTTTGCACCCTAGTTGGCAACTTAACACTATATACAACTATACATTCCTTACATCTCAAGAGTAGCTATACAAACTACTATAAATGAAGCTACTCTTCTTGCACTCTTTTCTTGGCCTCTTCGAACTCTTAGCACCTATAATCATGAAGTAATGGAGTGAGACAAGAGTCCCAATAACTAAATAAACTCAAATACCAATTAAAAGGAAAAAATATGCATAAGGGATAGAGTAACATCATTTTCACAATAAATATAGATTTATATTATCAATAATGTGATGCACAAGTATCAATGCATGGGCACATTTTACTAGCATCCTTCAAACCCCCAAATCTCTTAACTGAACCTATAGGCTATACATAGGACCTCTTTAGTTGGTCTAAGTACACCATTAGTAGAAGAAGTAGGGTCGGTACCTCTTTACCACCTCTAGATTATGGATTCCCTCTAACCAATTAGCAGGGCATCACATACTCGCTAAAGAGTAACCTAATTGTACTTGTCAACTATGGTATATCATAAGGGTAGTAGGCATCACACACATGCCATACACCATGGTGTACACAACTCCATAAGGTGAACTCTCTCACCTTCAATCATAAATAAATAATCATGCACTTTTGAGTCCTACTAGTAGATCATAGTCAGCACTCTAGGTCAAGATTTCCTAACTTTACACAAAGTAAGTTCACATGCCTCTACCTTAGATGAGGGTATCACTTCCTCATATATGCACATATGTAACACTACACATATTATGACAAGCATAAAATTTAAGGCACACATGCACATGTTTCAAACAATACAATAAAACTACTCTATCAATCTTGTAAATATTAGTATAAGTAACTTTCACAATTAGCTTGTATACAATTTTATAAGCTAATAGGTAGAAAAGTTTATCCAATTACCTCACATCTTTTCTACTAAGGGTTATCGTTTTCACTAAGGCACTTTGTGTTTTGTAGATTTCCACGAACAACTCTAAATTACTCGATCTAAACAGACAAGTGCTCTTTGTTAATTTTCAAACCCAACGCAAAACACTAAATGTTGCTAAGTTATATTACCTAATACTCACAACCATCTTATATACACTTTTTAAGCTTACCTTAGCCTATTCACTCCAATTACACCTTTTTAGGTCATTGTATGCCAGACCACCTCTCCACACACTAAACAAGCATTTTTATCCTTTTTAAATTTCTCAATTTAGGTCAAATTGAGCTTACAGCTACAACGTTTCATAGTTAATTCTCAAACCAGTTGCAAAACCTTAGTTTAACTCCTGAGGCTCTTTTTATTATTAAAGGGTAAGAAAACACCCTTTAAAACTCCCTAATTTAATTTCTCTATATCTCAAATGAAAAGAAATTTGGGTAGAATAGGAGCATAAGGTGGTAAGAAACTTACCTAACAAGCGACAGGTTAGAACTAATTCCCAACACTTTGATATTTGATCCCCTAATACAACCACCTTCCTTCTCCTCCTCTCGTGCATTCTCTCCCTCTTTCCTTTTGCTTTTCATGTCTGAGCCACGTCCCTTAAAGTAAAATTTTATGCCATGCACCACGACTCGTGGCATAGTGAGAAACTTCTCACTTTAGCTCATGTGCTTTGCTTTTGATCGCTATCCTTTCATCCAATCCTATTCACATATTAGCCCAACAAGCTGAAATATCAATTCAACATGTAAAACTACCATTACACAATTAATACGCTGATTTATCGCTAATTAGCAATTATTTTTTAGGTTAAAAGTTTAGTTACAACTTGTTCCACTTAGCTTGTGAATGGTATCCTCTTAGCTTGTAGTGCCTAATTTACCCTTTTAGCATATGTCATACAACCTTGAAAAATGTGAGCATTCCCATGACTTCATGGCTGTCGAAATAGGAGGCCAAACCTTGTCGTCCACTTTACTTCAAATTCTAGGCCAACCACTTATCCAATTATGAATGCATCTTGAAAGCATAGGTATGCTCCCACGATAACAACAATCGCAAGCACTCTATAGCTTCCTTACAATCTTGTAACATATGCAATAAGTCTTTTGGAACCCCAGCAACATACTATACATATAGCATTTGAACTTAAACCCCTTCTCTAATGAACCATGTTTGTGAGCAAGCGATCTTTCATACACATCCAAAGGAAGTTCTTGTAGTGTTGGGGAATATTCATTTTCTAAATGTGATGACATTGTCCTCTATTTGCAATCCTTTTAAAATTTTCCACCATCCAACATGTAGATTTAATGGTGAACTCACTATCAGCTGACTAACGCCACCTAGGAATGTCACTATGAACAATGCCTTGGACACTTAGCCCTGAGCCCTTACTCTCTTTAGTCTGTAGTCGTGTGTGTCATAGCCCTGAGCCCTTACTCTCTTTCTTTTTGCAAACATCTTGCCAACCCACTAGATGAACCTTCCCATTAACTTGAGTACTCTCCCACAAAAAATCTCGACATCTCTTATTAATCTCACCACACATGGTAACAGGGAGTAGTGATGATTGTATAGTGTTTGACGATATTGCAATTATGACCGATGACACCAATGTAATTTAGGTGGCCATGTACAAAGAATGTGTTTTCCAAGTTGATATTTGTCTATCCATCTTATACAAAATATACTAGTAAGTATACTTGGATACCATTTTATGTAGAATAGGCACCCCAAGATACTTTCCTATGTCATCCGTAGGCATAAACCCTATGGATTCACTCATTTTTGTTCGTCTTGTATGACACACATTGTTAGACAAAAATATACGAGATTTACCATTGTTCACCTTCTCCCCTGATGCTGTACAGAAATCATCAAGACAAGCTTTGATCAAACTAGCCTGATTCATGCTTGCCTCAGCAAACAAAATTAAACCATCCGCAAAGAATAAATGAGACATCGTTGTCCTATTCTTCTTTAACTTGAGCGATAACTAGTTTCCATTATCAACCTTCATTTGAATAAGGTGAGCTAGTTTGTCCATGATTAGAACAAATAGGTAGGGTGAGATGGGGTCACCCTTCCTTAAGCCATGTAAGGGGAGAAATGTGGCCCCTTTCTCACCATTCTATAGTAGATTCATCTCTGTTGTCACCAAAAACTGCTCAATCAAACTACAAAAGTTCATTGGGATGTTCATCTCTCTCAAACAAGCTAATATAACTCCCATCTTACCCTATCATAGGCTTTTTCTAGATTTATCTTCAAAGCCATAAATCTTGCTCCTCCCTTGCTTGAACGCATCAAATGAAACACTTCTTGTGCTAATATAATATTATCTGTACTCTGACGTCCTGGAAATAAACTACACTGGTTTGGGGCTACTATGTATGGCATGACAGATTTCAATCTATTTGCTAATTAGACTTTCATGACTATTTTATAAATCACATTATATAAGTTGATTGGTTGAAAGTCTCAAATCATTTTTGGAACATCAATTTTAGGAATTAGCACTATGTTGGTGCCATGAATCTGTTTGAAATCATGAGAAGCATGAAAGATAAATCTCACCAAATCACACACTGACTCACCCACTACTTGTCATTGGCTTTAGTAAAACAACGGATTAAGCCAAACTGGCCTCGAGGCTTTTAAAGGTCCCATGCTAAAAATAGCTTCCTTTGCCTCTTGGTTTGTGACATCCTAACCTAGTCGAGCTAAACGATCCTGACCAACTTCCGGAAAGCATTGTCCAAAGTCGACATGCAAGGCTGAGTGACCCTCTTCTGTGTCTAAATTCATAAAAAACCATGTGCCTAATTCTTTAATTACATCTGTATCGTTTACCCATTCTCCATCATCTCCCACGATCGCCTCAATATTGCTCCACCTCTTCCATGCTTGGACCATAGAGTAGAAGAACCTTGTTTTCTTATCCCCCTGGGCATACCAGTTGCACCGTCACCGTTGGAGCCACATGATTTCCACTTGAATTACAACCTTTTCAAGCTCCTCCTACCAATGCCGTCGCTCCCTTTCCCAATATTGCGAGACAGGAGCTAATGCAATAATCTTCTGATTTTTGCCTTCTAACTTCAATATAATTTCATTTAGGAGTGTGGTCGAACACCTTATTCCACTTTGTAACATGCTGCTTGAAACCAGCGACATTATCCTCCTAGCTATTCGACCGAACCCATGAATGCTTAACCATATTTGAAAAACCATCGTGCGTTACCTAATGAGCAAAAAATTTGAACTGTCTTTCCCCCCTCCTTAGACCCTCCAAACTCGATAATTTCGAAAGAAGAGGGCAATGATCTGACTTCAGTTTAGATAGATGTACTAGTGACTCCTGCGAAAATCTCTCAATCCAAGATGCAGTACTCAACACCCGGTCAATCCGACTTTGCGAGCTCCCTCCTTTCCAAGTGTAGCAATGTCCCTGGAACCCACTCCAGAAACAACTTATCAGTCCCATTTCTTCCAGTCATAGTCTCAAGAATAACGTGTGCACCCAATCCTGCATAAATTTATTCTTTGTTTTTAATTTTTTTTTGAAAATAAAATTTAAAAAAAAATGTACTTGATTGTGTTATTAGTGCTTCCTTTCATCCCAAAATAGTTGTCATTATTCTTGAGGCTACACGCACATTAACTTTGTACAAGATTTCATTTGTTTTTCATTCCTCTAACCCTAACATTGTTAATTCAATTGATTATTTTTTGTGTCAATAATTATTATTTTAAAAAAAGTTAATCTTAATTTATCAACAGTTGAGAATATTTTATTAATATCCAAAAGTTTAATGTAGGAATTTTTTGATGATGAAACTAATGAAGTTAAAATGAGAAAATTGAAAAGATATTTTATAAAATTAAAGGACTAAAATGAATCTTTATATAAACTTAGAGAATAAGGTAATTTTAACCTGACGCTAATAAACAGCATACAATTTTACTGAATGCAACTATGTTTGACTGAAATACACTTATTTATTATAATGTTTTAAAATAAACACTAAGTAACAATTAATTTTGAACAATTTGTAAGTTTGATCTATCTTTTTTTTTTCCTTGTAAAGTTTGAAATAAAGCATTATTTTCACCTGGATAATCTTTTTTCTTCAATGAGGCACTAAGATCCTAACTCTGGATGGAAATGATCTTTTGTGCTAATAACCTATATGATGAAGGACAATGATAAAGAGGGAGAGAGAAAGCAAAAAGAGAGAGAGAATAATAATTTTGTATATTTAAATAATCAAATAAAAGAGAATAATAGTTAAATAAAAATTCTCCCAATTAAAAGATCTTGGTGCTCATGTTGCTTCTCACAAGGACTGTTGAATGTCCATATCCTTATATTATTATTACAGGTGCCCAAACATTTCCAAATCATACCTTTGGGTGGCTCAATGTGAAAGATGTTGCAAATGCTCATAAAGCATTTGAAAATCTTTCTGCTAGTGGAAGATATTGTCTTGCTGAGTCAGTGAAACATTATTCAGAAATTATAAAGATTTTACATGAACTATACCCAATGTTACAACTTCCAAACAAGTAAGTTATTTGTTCTTTTCTGTAATTTTTGGGTACTTGTCTGTAATTTTTAGATCATTTTTAGTAATTTTTTTGGAAATTGTTTATAATTTTTTGGTCCTTTTCTGTAATTTTTGGATAACTTGTCTGTAATTTTTAGATCATTTCTAGTAATTTTTTTGGAAATTGTCTATTATTTTTTGGTCCTTTTATGTAATTTTTGAAGTCTTTTTATGTCATTTTATGGTCAACTAATAGTCAAAATTAACTTTTATTAATAGTAAGAATGACATTACATTATTTTCAAAAGATGAAAGGAAACATCACATAAAAAAAAAAAAAAATTAAGTTCTCAAAGACTTCTGAACCTATAGTTTCAAGACCAAATTGTCTTTTAACCCTTGTATTTATCCAATTAATTTGAAGTTGCATAAAATCCATATTTTTTGTAGCTATCAAAGAAGAGTTAATTGCTATTTCTACTTTCTAGAGATTATAGTTTTAATTATTCTACGTAGGAGATTTCTTTTAATTTCTTGATTATATGATTTGATCATATTAATTCAAATTATACTTGATCACTAGCCCTTTCTAATATTTGGCCTTAAATCTATCCATTCTTCTATTTTTGTTAATGATCATAATTTCTAATATAATTTCTTGCTTTCTCAAAGGTGTGCTGATGATAAACCGTTCAATCCAACATATCAAGTTTCCAAGAAAAAAGCAAAGACGTTGGGGATTGAATTCATTTCACTTGAAGTAAGTTCAAGAGAGGTGGTGGAAAGTTTGAAAGAAAAGAAATTTATTGACTTTTAAATTGTGATGTAGCCAACCCATAATATCTTTGTAGAATGTGTATTAATTATCATTATCAAGATTTTGTTTAAAAATTGCATATTTGGATTGAACCAATTTCTATTGTAATAATGCAAACATGTTTATTGTATGTGAAGATACACCATCTGCTCCTAAATATAAGGTTTATATAAGGGTTTTGGTTTGGTTTTAAATATAAGATTTTATTCCCTCTTGTCTCTTATATTAGCTTTTGCTTTCCCATCACATGTCTATTTATTGGGACTTTTTTTATCTCCTACATTAAATTTTATATAAATTTTTAGGTTAAATGATGAATTAACTCTTAAACTATAAGTTCCTCAATATTTACAACAAAAAAAAAATCAAAATAATTTTATTGGTCATTTATTGCTTAGTGTTAATGTTTAATTTTTTTTCCCCGCTCAATTCCTGTTATCTTTCTTTGAATTGCTAAACATAAATGTCGTTATATCTTGTTTTAGCATGCCTTGGTAGTTTTCACTTTCCAAAGTAAAACCAATCACACGCTTAATAGACAGTCAATGGGGTATTTTATAATTATGCACTTCTTAGATAATTATTCCCTACCTCAATTTGCTTTGAGTTTTTTTTTTTTTTTTAACATTGACCATTATATACAGCAATGATAACAGCCAACTTTATCTCACTGAATGAGTTTAGCTACATGAATTACATGACGCATGTCATTGATAAACAAATTAAAAGTTCTCACACAATAGGACCTACCTAATAGGAGCGTTTATTCCCTCTCAATGTCCTCCGCGGAACCATTTAGTTTATAACATAAGGAGATAGAGTTATTCATTCCAAGGATATACCAACATAAAGCATGCTTGAGCTAACCAACGATTCCTCTTCAAAGATGGATTACAAAGTTAAAAGCTGACAAATTTCTTCTCTTTCAAACTTTCCACAGTCTCCTTGAGGCTCACTTCCAACGGAATAAATTCAATTCCCAGTGTTTTTGCCTTTTCTTTGGAAACCTGATATATCGGCACGAATGGCTTATCATCCGCACACCTATCAAGGATGATGAGAAACCAAGAAATGAAATTAGCAAAACTCAGAAATCAATATATGAACTAAATGAATGCATATGAAGGAAACGACAGTACAGGCCATTTGGCTTATCAAATATGGTTTTGAAGGAATATCGTCAAATATGAGGAACAAATTATCAGGAAACAAGGATCCAAAAGTAGCCAATGGAATCTCAATGCTAAAAGATTATATTAAATTGACAGTCATTTAAATTGAAGCTTTCTATCTCTTTTCCTTCAATCAATCAAAACACACCCTTCCCTTCACCAAAATAATCATCATTTCAAGTCTTCAACACCAATTCAAGCATACTTCTCACTTCAAGTTCCAGACATACAAAAAATGATCATAATGCTGGAAGCACACATGAAACCTTTATTGGGAAGGCTAAAAGGATGGAATCAAGTAAATTCTTTTCTATTTTATTACGTACAAATATTTTTCCATTGAAGGCAATTCTGTTCGAGGCATAGTCAAGCACTAAATATGAGCACCTATCAAGTAAAATTCTAAATGAAGGAATCATAGAAAATTAACACTAAGCTCTGAGACCACACAGATATTCCATTACATGTAACATGCCCAACAGATAAATGCAGATTTTTGGGGTTTTGATAGATTCTAGATTTCTCGTATTACATTTAACATTAGGCATCTATCAAAATCTGAAAAATGACAGGACAAGAACTTCCTTTCTAGGTCATGTTGCACCATAAAGACCTTCATTACCCAATAAAGAAGAACCCTTTTTTCTAAAATGGAAAGTGGAAACATGCTACATATTCTAACATGTCCTATGCTTCAAGCCTTAAGGTAGTATTTAGATTGATAGATTTTGATTTCAAATCTCACATTTTAAATCTACGCATTTAAAATTCCTTATTTGAATAGTTTAAATAACAAAGATTATTACTATAAGGTAGTGTTTCAAAAGTGCATATGGAAATTTGAAATAAAAGTTTTAGAAAGGATTTCAAATTATAAAAAAATTAAGATAAAATTTGAATTTAAATTTGGTTAAAATCCAAATCCATAAATTTTTAAGTGCTCAAACAGGAGATTTGGCTCAAATCCAAATTCAAATCCAAAATCTATATGTATCCAAACATAGCATGAAGGAATTTCTGCAGCAATCTGCCCAAAAATGGTTATATAACGTCCTGTATTCAATGGCTTCTAAGATCTAGTAGCCAATTTTATCACAATTGATAATCTATAGTGTATAAAGCTCCAGACCACATTATAAAGATGAACAATAGATGGTTCTAAGTCATGCAAGGATCTTCACCAATAAATTTATTCAGGTTAATAAAAAAATAAATATAGTGCTGAAAATCATTAAAAGAAAAAAAGTGAAAACAAAATTTAAGTTTCCACATTTTAGAGAAGAGATAAATTCACAAAAAGGCTAGAGAAAGATATATAACTAAACTATATAGCATATGAAGTATGAAAATTACAGAAATAATTGAACTTACTTTTCAGGAAGTTGCAATGTCGGATACAGCTCACGTAAAATCTTCACAATCTCCGAGTAGTGTGCCACTCTCTCAACCAAACAATACCTTCCGCTAGCAGAAGGAATTTCAAATGCTTGAATGTGGGCATTTGCAACATCCTTCACATTGATCCATCCAAAAGAACTATTTGGAAATGTCTCAGCACCTGCATACATCAAGGATGAAAAGAGTCCCTCAAGGTGGAACACAAAAATTCTTGCCTGGGACCCAAACAGAGTACATATAACACAAACAGAAGTCATCAAACATTTCTTAAAGTAACAACAAAAATCAAATCACTAACAAATTAGACTATTGGATCCTTGATAAAGAAATTTTGAAGAAAATTGTATTTAGTCCATAACTTGGTTTATCTCAAAGATGAAACCATTGTTCTCAACCAGCAATTGAGGTCCTTATAGCTCACATGTGCCAAGTGATGAAGTCCCCTTTACATTTTGTATAGGATAGAATTGTGTCACTAATTTCTGTGCCAATTCCAGTCCATAGTTTCTATTTTCCTTTTCATGCAGAATTTAAGTCAATAAGGACAAAGAGTACATAACATTATAAAAGTTTAAAGCCACAAAAGGAAAAGAAAAATATTCTGATCTAGCATAATGGTCTGCATTATAATTCCAATGTACATTAGAACAAGTTTAAGCTACTGATTAAAATATTACAATGTTCATGTTCTTATACTTTTCCCTACATTTTCTATGCGGTGACATTGATCTCTGTTCTTTTTCCATTTACTAGAGCCATATAAAAGCAGTTGAGCTGGAGTTGATCAAGCAACTCAGATGCATCGTGTGTAGAAAAAGAAAGTACCATTTATTATATTCAAAATTGCAGCAGCACTTGTATTAAGCGTTGGTTGCAAGAGAGGTCCTATCACCATTGCTGGATTGATGGTAACCATGTCAATGTTGTTCTCCTTTACAAATTTCCATGCAGCGTCTTCAGCCAAAATCTTTGAAACTACATACCACAGCTGAAAGAACAAAAGTAGAAACAGAAGGAAAGTTGAGGACATTGTAAATTACCATGCATGACAAATAATCAAATTTGCACCAACTGGAATAGAGGACTTTAGTCATAATTGAGGACTTGAAAACAAGCAAAATATTCTCTAGTTCCCTCAAAAACTTAAAAAATGGAGGTGACATGAAAAAAAAAAAAGAGACACCAATGTCTGTGGGTAGTTGATATGAAAATAATGAGAGAAGACTAAATTGATCTGACTGATGATTTGAGCAAGGCCTGAAAAGGTTTCAGGAAGGAGGAGCCTTCATGGATATCCCTGCATTGTTATGGAGATTTTTCTTTTTATTTACTAATTTCCCTCAAATATGGAGTGTTACGTGGCATTGATGGAGGCCATAGTCAACATCTTCACTGACACAAAGGTGCTGTCAGAGTAAAGCCATTCCACCTTAATGGCAGGTGGGCTCTAGGCTTTCATGCCATTTAGCATACATTTTATCACGTCATTCTGAATTTCCCATTAGATAGACAATTGCTATCCCAACTCTATACAACATTCCCTATCACAAGTTCAACCAGCCTGAACTATACAGATAATTTCTGCATTAGTAATTTGGTTCAATGAAATATAGTGGATTACATTAGATGCCTTGCAAACATCTGGATCTGAAAACCATGTCTCATCAACAACTACTTCAGGAGTTCTAGGCTTTCTGTTATACGCAACTGCAGCAATGGAAGAAGTTAAAACAACTCTTTTCACAGATGGAAATTTAGCACATGACTTCAGAACATTGAGAGTTCCCTTCACTGCCGGATCAAGCAGTTCAGCCTGAAATGAGAAAGGCAACAGTCACGAGCTTTAATTAATGAAGCCACTAATCTAAATAGAAATAAGGGCATTCAAAATGAGCAGCCTACTCATTTCTTTGATCTATACATTCAAAATACATAGTTCCAACTGAAGAGGGTAAGGGCAGCAACTGCAGCTGTGCTACTTTTCAGTTTTATGACAACAAGCCTTATCCCATTAGGTCAAGGCAACTACATGGATTGCACAATGATATTGTGCTCCATCAACAACCAAACGTTTGGGTTTTCAGTTTTACAGCATTTAAATAATATAATTATACATCATGATTAGGATTTCCCATTTACTCAAAATTGCCTAACATCTAGTTCAAGGGTATGCAATGAATTCATTTGATTTAACTAAATCAGCAAGATCATGCTATTACTTGTCAAGTGAAAACCTTTAGGAAATGTCAACATGTACATGGCAATTTATCAGTGTTCAGAAACTAACTGCCTGCTTGTAGGAGGAAATGAAATATTATAATTGTGGGCTTTGGCCCTCTCACAATAAAGCCTTCAGATTCCTAAGTAAGAATAACTTTTTGATTTCCCATATGTAATTACAAAGAGGAAGAACTCATCTTAATGGTTCTCCCACCCCACCCTCTGTCACCTTCCTAGATATTTACAATCACTGTCCAAACAGATTAAAGCAGTAAAAACAGAACACTTTGCAACAGACAGATCACATTCAATTAACAAATGCAGAATGGGATGAACCTGTGGATCTTTGACATCAAGATAAAAGGGAGATGCAGTATGAAAGACACCCTCACACCCCTCGATTACAGGGTC